TATAACGACTGCTCAGTTTTTTTAACAACCCATTACGAAGTAGCTCGATATTTTTATTTAAGCAAGTTCCCTTTCTTATCCTTTCTTTCTCTCAGGTGTGGTGTGCAGTTGGGATTTTCTCGTAGGTGAGCTCTCCTGCTTTTGCGTTTTTTCTCAAATCTCTTTACTCTTCACTTTTCCTTTTCAACCTTTAATTAAATCTTTTATCTTTAGACATAACATGTGAACTTTTGCAACTCATGATTGGATGTAGCTTCTGGTTTTTCTGGATGTAAAAATTATCAAAATATTTACTTAAAGGTGGTTAAAATTTGATTTTTAGACCAAATTCTATAATATCCACACCACAAATTTTGACTCATTTTATATTAAAAACAAAAGATATGAGTACTGTATTGGGATTGTGAGTTGCAGTTATATGCTTGTTAAATGTTTGATAAAATGCTTCTATGAGCGTTTTGCAGTTTAAGAAACCCAAGTTCTGGACATAAGCTTTAGTTTTGTGCAATTGGAACTCATTATGAAAAAATGTGAATAGGAAAAAATTGAAGCATAGAATGCTTGTTATTGTACAATTTGCTTCTTCTTCTTCTTCTTCTTCCTGTGTTTACTGCATTTCATAGTGCAAGTTTTGTTTATATTGAGTAGTATTTTGCACTTTTTTTTGTCCTTTCCACAAGACTGAAAAATGTGGATGCAAGATTGCAAATCAATTACTTTCTTTTGTAGCACAGGAGTAGCTGTTGTGATATGGTAAGTTGTAGTGCCGTTTAAATCTGCAATGTTAGCCAGCTGAAATTGATTCTATTAAGCCTATCTAGCTAGGTGACTAGGTCAATTGTATATAGTCTTATTTTTCGTTGTCAAGTAATTGGAATATTTTGTTTAACTCAGTGTCCTAATCTTTTATTTATTTATTTTTTTTTGTCTTCAATAATGGTCGATTGGTTGTCATTTTAGCTATTTTCCTTCCGAATCAAAATCTGTAAAACATATCTCTGTATTTTGTGATTGGTAGCGGACAGCATGTGATAATAACTTGTGCTGTAGTTTCAAATGATATCATGTGACAACAAATCAATGATGGGTTAATCATGTTATGTTCTACAGGAAATGAGAGTAGCACAGCGTCTTGAGGTATGGAAAATGGGCACCATCAACTACTTGGATGCACTTAAGCTTCAGGAGAAGTTGGTATCCCACAGAAAAAGTCACAAGATTTCAGATACTCTCCTTTCCTTGCAACACTCACCTACATATACCCTTGGCAAGCGGCGTACTGATCACAATCTATTAGTCCCTATGTCTGAATTGAAGAAGATAGGAGCTGAACTTCATTATACACAGAGGGGAGGAGACATTACATTTCATGGTCCACATCAAGCCATCTTATATCCTATAATTTCTCTCCATGAAATTGGGCTTGGTGCTCCGAAATATGTGGAGAAACTGGAGTTAACCATGATTGAATTAGCATCTTTATATGGAGTGAAAGCTTGTGCTGGACAAAAGGGTGAGACAGGTGTTTGGGTGGGAGAGAGAAAGATTGGTGCAATTGGTGTTCGGATATCAAATGGAATCACTTCTCATGGCTTTGCATTCAACATTGATCCTGATTTGAACTATTTTAAACATATTGTGCCTTGTGGAATTGCAGAAAAGGAAGTTACATCTTTGAAAAGGGAGACAGGTATTGTGCTTCCTGCTGAAGAAGTAATTCATGAACAATTAATTTCTTGTTTTGCAAGACTGTTTGGTTATAGTAGTATTACATGGAAGGAGAATTCTTCAATATGTCTGATAATGAAAACTTTGAATTGTAACCCTGATATGCAAAACTATATACTGAAGAAAAATGAATAAAATTTGATTCTTGTTGATTTATGTTGGAATGAGGACTTCAATAAGCATTTTGAAAAAGGAGAACATTATACACTTAATCCTTCCATAATTGTAGGAACTAGGAAGTGAGCAATACTTTTGATTCTTCAATTGTTTTTCATAGAATAAATAAAAAGTTCTATGTGTTATTCTTTCCTTTTTGCCTGAAGTATGGGAACTCTAGAGGGGCAACATCCATCTACCTAGCTTTGATTGCCAAAAACACCAGGCTGTGTAGCTGTTAAAAACCGTTATGTTTTCTAGGAGCTATGTTAGGGAAGTTAAGCAACTTCATAAGAATTGTCTAGGATAAATCTTTAATGTTTGGTATAAATGAATTTTTATCACTTGATCTAAATTAGAGTCTTAAATGTTTACAATTTCCTTTTCCTATTAAAATGGTTTGGAAGCCTGTGTTTGTGGTGACGTTATAATAACATGATTCTCACAACACAATGAGTCATCCTTGTCATGTACTCTTGAATGAGACCCTCTAAATATTTCATTCAAATTTACTTCCTGGAGTCCTTTGACCAGATCATGTATAATTATTTTCCTATTCTATCATCATGACCCTTCTTAACAAGGCTTGACTGCAGTATCAGTTTAGCTTTCCATCTCTATCAAATGTGAATGCTGACAGTCGTCAGTAGTGCAGAATCATTTAGTTTTTTTGGCTAAAATCTGCTAAATTTAGGAAACAGATCCTTGGAACTAGGTTTTGAGATTGTTAATGGGTTTGTAGCTGTATACATCTTAAAAATATCTCCAAGTTGTTGAAATCCATGTTCTGTATCCACTCAATCTCTGAAACTTAGGAAACAAGTAACCATAGGAGGATTTCAGATTAAAATACATGTATGAATCCAAAAGCATTTCACCGTGGCTGACGAGCCAGCTATACTTCATGTTGGAAAAAGATAATGTACTAGGGTAGTCACTGAGAAATAACAAGCTTCTGAACATAACCCAACTACCCAACTACCCAACTACCCAAGTCAAGTAGACAAGATACTAGGTGGTGAGAATGGAAGAGAGGGAATTTTCCTAGAACATGATGAGCGATTCACATGCAGAAAGTAGGATTACCCAGCTAACTTTAGTTGTTATTGTTACACTTAAATTATAGGTGCAAAACTGATTAGTTATTTAATAATCTAGATAGGACAGACAATAAGGTGATTCTTTTGGGCTTATGTGATAAGTCACATGAGACATGTTGTCCAATATTTCATTACTGAAGAGAAGCCAGAAAAATATAATAATCAATTCAGGATCACATGATCAGCTTCTTCCAGGTTCCAACCTATTAAAAAACAAATAAGGAAAACAATAAGAATAAGAATATATCTCACACATAAATTTTTTTTGGGGATGAGACTAGTCAAATTTATGCTTCTCTTCAAATTTTAATTTGTATTATAAGTGGGAATCCTGAGATGTGCTTTTTCTGTGAGTTTAGTGCTTTGTTGACCTTCCTTGATGTCATTAGTTTCCTCTAGATCAGTGTTGTCCCATACCCACATAGCCATTGATTTATTTGTGTATAGGATTATCCTTGTTGTCGTCATTCTTTTTATTCTGATTAAAAATGGTTCAGATCTATCTCTATAAACCCTGATAAGTCTGTTGTTAGCTTTAGCTGAAATACTAACAGAGGCTGAACAGCTGTTATTAATCAGGATAATTACATTTAATAACCAAACAGGCATCTATTAGAAAGTAATTATTGGCTAACTACATCTATATGTTAGACTTTTACAAAGACTTTAAGCAGAAACAACATCTAGTAAGCATGCACTGCTACCTTACATGAAGAGATATCTCTAAATGCCTTAACTCCAACACATTTCTGCCACGTTTCTTTTTCAACTAACAACATGAAATCCATTCATAAAGCTTTGGCTGCTCTTTTTGCTTTGATTCTTTTCCATTTGTTCATCTCCTCCCAACCGTCCGTCCTCTGTGATAGAACCATTCTGAAGATCAGAACGCAACCAAGGAGATTGCTAGGTTCTTTTGCTTCCTTTTCTGCTAATCAAAACAAGTTGAGTGGAGCTACTCAAGATTCCAAGAAAGCTGTGGAGACAGGTCTAAGGAAAGCCCCACCAAGTGGTTCAAATCCTATACAGAACAAGTAATAGAACAGTGTTTGTGTAGAGATCTCAGGAAGAAAGAGAAACAAGTCTTCTTTCTGCATTTTTGCAGTTGTCTTACTTTTATGTTTGATAGGCAGGAGAATTGGATCTCAATACAGTCCCTCCTAATTTTTCCTCTGTGCGTCAAAAAATTATTCTATATTTTCTTGGAAGTCTTTGTTTTAAAGTAGATTTAGAAGAAGATGAGGTGAAAGTATATTTAGGTAACCCTGTAAGAACACATTATATATAGTATAGTTCTTTTTCAGAAGATCTGCAGTTTCTCGTCAGTGACTTGTTTGCTAACATTTCTGCAAAACATGTACTTTGTCTCAGAAGATCACCAGTTTGTCATAGGTCTTCCGAGAGTAATTCTTTTTTTCTTTTTTTTTTTCAATTATACATTTTGCAGAAACTGCAAGATGATGTACCATCTTCTCTCCTTTTCTTCCTAGTTTTCTACTCATGGCTTCACATGATGAACAAATGGACTGATTGGCATTGCATATTATTCTTTATTTAATTTGAAAAGATAGATGGTTTATGAGGCAGCCCATTTTATGTAAATCTTCCAATTGACAATAATGCTGCTAGAAATTTTACTCCCTGTCAGATAGAGAATAGGAACTTGATAGCCCAAAGGATGAGTGAGTTCACACACACACACACACAACACACACAAAAGTTTTTCTTTTAATAAGGCATTATCTTCTTCTCTGGTGTCAATGGTTTTCTGTTAATATTCAGTGATCGTCTATTCTTCTTCAATAACAATAATTGGCTTCTCTTTTACCTAGGCTTGAACAATTGATTATATATTGTTTGAATTTGACTCCTGGTCCTCTTAATTGTTGTTGGAGAGGCCTTGCAGTAAGACTGACCTGAATCTGTTTACAAAATGTTGTTGCTTGCTAGTTTTTAGGAGACATACGTGGTTTGTTTGCGTACAGCTCCAGTTATTGAAGGCTTTATTTGCATAAGATTGTGTAGGGGAAATGTAGGCTGATCTTCTTGTTTTGTAATTTAAGTTATTCTCTTGTCATGAAAGTATGTCATTTGTTACTTACAAAATTGCCTTCCAAAGTTAAAAAAATTTCTTCTCTCACATAGACATGTCATTCCTGAATGTCTTCCTCACTATTAGAGAATGGGATGAGAGAAAGGAAGAGGAAAGGAATGATAAGAGGGATAGGAAGAAAGTGGAACTTAAGATTCTTATTATTAGATATTATTAGATTATAAAAAAAGTCAAAGAATTTGTGAGTAAAGAGCCACTATATTTGAATGATAAAAAGGTCAATTTAGATAACATTGACTCCATTGCCATAAAAATTAAATTGCCTCCATACCAATCAAAAAATTATAAATAGATTATTAGAGTCTTTTCATATTTTATTTAAAGAGTAAAATAGTAAACTAAATGTATAGAATGACGTGAGAGAAAGAAATAATATGAGAGATAGGAAGGATTGAGAAGGAAGTGAGAGAAAGGAACAAAATGGGAGTTAGAAAGAGATAGGAGGGAGGGAAGACTCAACTTTGATATTTTTAGATTCCATGGTATACAACATTTTAAATATTTGGTTTATTGATCGACAAAATATCTGATGGTAGTAGGATTTTAACTTCATTTATTTTTTACTTCACATCCTTATGGTATACTGTAGTAGAATTGTGGTCTGATGATTGTCATTTTAGTTTCCATGCTACCATGTCAACTTGAAATTTTAGTTTCCATGTTAGACTAATTTTATCATCTAACTTCTTAATATGGAGATACATTTTACTGCTATTTTCCTACATTGCTATATCCCTACAAATCTCTAGCACTTTTTGATTTTTGGCCGGAATCATTAGCACTTGAATAACTCATTTATAAGATATAATTTTCATTATAATTGTTGATAGGACGTAGAGATGGATTTCTATAAGGAAGTATGGGCACCAAATGTTTTTTTTGGGTTGATTTGAGATCAATCTCTTGTAAGCTTCTGACCATTGAAAATGGATAATGCATATTTTCATCTATCTGGCTAATTTTTGCATTTTGTTGTGGTGTATTGACTCATATTGAGTAAAAAAGGTTCTGTTGTTACACATGCTATGAATGCATTTGAGCTAAGCTCCACGTATTTCATAACTGAGAATTGCAAGTTTAAGACAGATTGAAGCTCTCCTCAGAGATGATTTGTAATAGTACCCCTTCCCATTCTGTTTCTCAATCAAATTAATTTGTAAAATTGTTACCTATTCTCCTCCTAATAACTTCAATCTCATAAAAAAAATGAGAATTTGCAAGAGTCGACCACCATTTCCTTTTCCTGCACTACCTGACCTTCTATCTAGGTCTAATCACCGTTTATCACAAGGTAATCTACACTCTGAGGATCCTTTCTTGGATGAAGAAACAAGTCGGCGAGTAGGATGGCAATGCTATCCCTTGAAAAATCCTTCATGTCAAACTGTTGAAGAAGGATCAAATGGTAAGTTGCAGCTGGTGGTCACTGGGGAAATCAGTTCAATAAATTGTGAAGATACGGATAACTGGAAATATCATAGCATCAAGGAGAACTCAAGTCAGGTAATAGAATTTTCGTTTCCTCCTTTCTTTTTCCTTTTCAGAATTTAATACATTTATTATATCTTAATGCTCCTGTAAAATTTTGTAACTGTTCTTCTACCAAATTTCCCCTTCTATTAACATGTTTATGTTATATTTTTCTTGTTGTAATGAAGCTGGAACCCTGAATCTGCATTCTGTTAGTTTAATTCTATTGATAATTACTTTACAAAACTCATTTTAATCAAGCCTTCAATTCCAGGTCTTTGGAGGAAAGCATGGGGGACAAGGCAATGACGGCGATGAATCATATGTGTCTAACATCAACCACGAATAAACTTGTTTCTTAGCCTTTATGTTCATTATACCTACCGTACTAGATGAAAATTGATTATTTTATCTAATTCTTGCAATCGATACTAGTTTATTTAAATTACCATGTATTCTTAGTGACTTTGTTCCATATATGCCCCATGACAATGTCATTCTTTCAGCATGCAAAAAATTTAACTCTTATTTTGGTTTGATGACAGAGCTGTAAATGCTGCTGGTGCTGGAGTTAATTTTGTTACCAAATTGCCCTTTGCTTGCTGCTGCAGTGTAAACAAATGAGTTGATATATGCTAACTAATATGTTTATCTTTCTTCTCTTTCAATATTTGTTTGGTCTTCCTAGGTAAGTGAACCATTGGCATCTTCAATTACAATCCATAAGCCAAAATTCCTTGTTTAAGATTAGTTCTTGACGCCTGTCTTAAGATGACCAAGCTAGTTTTGCCTTGTACTGGCTTATCAAAGAAAAATGGTCATGACATGGGAATGTGAGTGCTGTAAGCAGCAGCAACCAAGGGATACGATTGTC